ATTTTTTTTGTTATATGAATTAATGTTATACCATATTTATATAATACAGTTGATATTCTGACCAACAAGTAACTGTATTAACAGATTCTGTAATTCTACACTTGTATATTGCAGCTGCCTATATTGGTTAAAAGTGGCAATTCGTGTCACGTATCGTGTTCGTGTCGTGTTTCGATCGTTTCTTTTTAAATTTGCAGTCAATCCGAACACGACCCGTGACACAAAATTTTTTAAAAACCGCAACACGAACCCGACACGACCACTTTACGAGCTGACACAACACGCCCTGAAAATGACCCGTGACACAAAATTGACCCGTGAACCCGAAATTGACACAAAAATTGTATACTTTTATTTAGTTTTTTATATATTAAAAATAACTTAAAATTCATAACACTCTAAATTCCAATAACATCCGTTGAAATTAAGCAAATAATAGTATAAGATTTTGAGTATAACTATCATGATATCACAAGTTCATAATAAAATTTAAAATATGAAATGAAAAATATATGTATTTTTTAGTTTTTTACGAGTTTCGTGTCGTGTTCAGGTTAGGCGGGTCCAACCCAAAATTGACCCGTGTTTTTCGTATCAATTTCAGGTCGACTCAATTATAACCCAAACATTTTTTTTCTCAACCCTAATCCGCAAAATTCGTGTCGTTTTCGAATCGTGACCTATATTATCGGCCCTAATATTAGTCATTGGCTCAATGAAAAATGAAAAATTGGATTCAACCCCACTTTATAATTACTAAACAGGGATACTGATTCAACGTATATATCTTTTGAAGGAGCAGCGACAAGATGCAAATTCAACATATATAGGCGTGGACATTAATCTCTAAAAGTGTTTGAATGCACTGCATTGATTAGGAAAGCGCGGAGGCTCAATTGCTTTTGAGGGGATTGACAATGAAAAAAAAGAAAAGAAAGAAAGGGTCCTGTTAGAATTAGTATACTGCGTTTTCATTTAGCACGATAGATAAGAAAATTTTTTAAGAGTACCGATGTTAAACACTATTATTAATAAAATATGAACTACATTTAATAACGGAGACAAATGGCCCCCTCAAGTTCTTTTTTTTTTAACATAATGATTTTAATTTTAATATAATAAATATGTGTATAAATTAAATTTGACTTTTTTAAATTAATAATTCTCTATATTTAATAAATAAAAATTATTATATAT